GACTTACTGGCAAATATCATCTAATCATGGTCGATCTCTACCGCAGGTTTTAGTGCAAGGCCTCTAACATCCTTCTCATCCAACAATTTTGGTTCATCCTTGCAATATGGTTTGTCCATATCTAGATCCGACACTATCTTTTATACAATGTCTGTGATTTTAGCAGTTTGTCTGAACTATTCGTTTATTTTTCGGTGCAATAGAGTTAAACATTAATTTCTCCATGACCCGTGTTATACGGTACTACGCTTATTACTAAAAAAACAACAATTTCATATTTTCTAAAAAAAAAACTAGTTTGTTTAATTACCTAGATTTACGAATATAAATACATAGTAGATATTAGATGCTGTAGCTTATACAAAAAGGATACATTTAAAAAATGATTTATCGTTGTTCTTTGCCAATTTCTCGGAAACTATGAATAATGCGGCCTAATTCCGCCATATTTTTTAATAAAGTTATTAATAATTAAATCAGACAAAAAACTTATTATGATAGTTTAATGCAAATATTCAGGTCCTTGACTCGACTACACAGTCTGGCCATAACCTTATTACGAATGAATATTCAAGCAATACTAGTTTTGTAGCAATGTACGCGAAGCATAAAATTAAATCGATTTAAATAAACGAATAGTGTTCGATATAGCATTATTCGATTGATTTGTACTAATTGCACATTTACTATATGCTGGCCTAAGAATGCTGGCACTGTTTATCTCTTGTGTATGATATGAATATAACTAGGAAAGGGACGTGTGTGTTTTATTAAAAAACTACGTAATACTATATTATGTATACTCTATTAAACTATATTATATATAGATATTACTATATATAACCCACCCCTAGTACTAAAAAAATCTATTTCACAGAACGTTCATATTTAAGTAGTAAATGGCTGAATTAGTGCTAAAAGCATTCTCTCACAGTCAACCATAAAAATGTCAGAATACGCGAATGCAGTACTAGTAATTATTGATATACATATATACTAAAACTATCTATGGTGTCAATCTGTAAGTATATCCTTTTAGATAAAAAAAGAATTTGTCAAAACCGGGAGGTATAATTATAAAAAAAATTAAAAACCTACTTTTGTTTGAAGTAAATAGAAAATAGTGTACCTATTACGAAGTTATAATTGAAGGTAAGATAGAAGGAAGGAGGGGAAGAGGGAGACCAAGACATAGTTGCATCAGGCAGATCAAGGAAAGAGTTAGTGTCGTGTCGTATCAAGAGGCGAAGGGACTCGCTGAAAATCGTAGTGAGTGGCAAGAGCTCCACCGACAAGAGCGTAGCTCTTAAATACGATGGATACTACGATGTCAAGTTCGTCAAATAATTTCTAATTAAAAAACGAATAGATAATAACTTATGCATATCTGTTTATTTAAAAAAAAAAAGATGCCTTTCCCTGACGTTCCAAGCAATAAAAAACACTACTAGACAATAAAACCAGAATAACAGAGCGGAAAACTGGTAGTCTATTAAATAATACCTCACTAATGTTTTTAGTTCTCTATAGCCACTGGTAAAATTTATTTGATTTTGAACTTTAAGCGAATAGAATAAGGATTATGATATTACGATGATGTGCAGTTTACTCGTTGTATTTTATAGGAACAAATTGATGTTGGTTCACGTTTGCCCCCTGTTGTGAAGGACCAAAGGCTAAAAGGCCTGAGATTACCACAACCAGTGAAAGTTTTAGGATATTATTCGCATTATCACTAGGGGTGAATAAGATACAGCAATATATTGGATATTATTGTAGTTACAATATCTATATATTAGGTTTTTTTTTTCAATGGATGATAATGGAATGCTGACCCCACCTGAGCTAACGGTATATGCTGGCGGGGCACCAGTGAGGCATGATAGGTGAGAATGAAAAGGCAGGTCAGTTAGCCCATCGTGATGAATACGCCTAGAATGGGGGAGAAGGGATTGTTAGTAATGGGGACTAGCAACCTCATTGCTAGCAATAAACCCTATCAGGTAGACCCCCACGCGGTTCCCCCTACTGACCTGCTTCATTCTCACCTATCATCCTTCACTGGTGCCCCGCCAGTGTATACCGATAGCACAGGCGGGGTTACCATTTCATTATCATCCATAAAAAAAATACACCTAGAATTCAGCATGATGATTTCCAGGAAGGACCACGTGGAAGTCTACGTTATTAACAATCCCTTCCACCACGTGATGGTCGACCTGATAGGGTGTATTGCTAGCAATGGGACTGGTAGGCCGCATTACTAAAAATCCCTTTCCCCCTATATATCAGGTTGGGTCAATATACTCAGATATTAAATTTCACTTATTCAATATGTATTTAATACGAAAATGAAGAACTAAATAGATAAAGCAATATCGAAATGTGTGACGATTTTTTTCCACCACTGATATCCAGAGTAAATCAATATATAGATATCAAATCAATATATACATATCGCGACGGTACTGATATTACCCATGCCTAATTGTCACAACTTTTACTAAATTAAAATTAATTAAAAAAAAAATTTTAGTGCATTTTGTATGCATTTGTCTTATGTTATATCTAATGCAGAAAGTGTTTTTATTACTAAAATACTAGCAATCAGATGACTGATATTTTGGTAAAGATATTTTAATAGTTACAAAACTATATTTGTCAACTCTATAATGGCGATACGTAATTAATTCTAAAACGACAAATCGAAACTCAAATAAAATTGATAAATTATTTTCAATTTAACTTCAACATTTAATATTTTTAATTGATAAAATCATCAATTTGTCAAAGATTAAAATGAAAATTTGTTTGTGGTATAATGCTCTCAAGAAGTTTTATATAAACTTTGTGTTATGGGTATAAGTGCCTACTTGTGAAATTGGTAAATACAGTTTACAAGCGTATTAATGGATCCTGCGCTAACGATACACACTGGCGGGGCACCAGTGAGGAATGACAGGTAAGAACGAAAAACCTGGCCTTCTTTGTTGGAATGAGATAGCAACGCCGGGTGACTCATTACAACTCACGGACTCGCTAACGATGTCAATTCCATCGACGAATTCGCTTGTCATTTGTCTAGAGACCCAGGTTAGTTAGCCTATCGTGACCAATGCACCTGGAATTCAGCACAATTGTTTCCAGAGGGGGCTACGTGGAAGGTCAATCTGACATGATATAATACTAGCAATGGGTGATAAGCGTATTTCATAAGAATTCGTTGAAAGTGTTCACTTTGCCTGTGTGCTGATTCTGAATCAACTTTGAAATTTTTTGGAATCGATTTGCTGTACTCCTAAGTTAGTTCCATATTATTTATGTCACGGTTGAAATTGTTTTCAAATAGATTATTTTTTTTTTTAAATATAATTTCATCGTATTTTCTTAAAGTATTCTATTACGAAATTGCTTAAAAGCTTTCCGACGTCGACCATGGTCACCCTGATGTGCCATACCACGCGGCGACCGCACCGCTACTGTAAGCCCCCCGCTAGCTCGAGAGCAAACACGCGTTTCATTTAAAATTAAGTATTTTATTTTAATACCAAGTGGTAGCGTGGAACGGAACGCAACCTCGTATTAGTTTGTTTTTTTTTTACATATTATCCAGCACAAGTTTAATTAGAGTGGACAGTTTGGCTTCTGTTAATAAAAAAGATTAAACAGAAGCAGTTTTTTCTTATTTAATCCAAAGGACGTTTTTATGATTTTTTATCCTATTATTTATAATAGGTATTTGTAGTCCGTAATTGGAGACTCTTTATCCGTGTGACTTAGGATAGATGTTTAAGAGGGAGACTGGCTGAAAACCAGCGCTGTACTGCTGTATACATTGCACTCAATTTCGGATTTCATACATCCTATCATAAAAGTACAAAGGAACAATATTTTAACATTATTATGTAATTATAACATCAAATTTCTGTTTCGTTTGGCTCCGAAATTTCGGAAAACATTTCATGGTAGGCCCTCTGATTCCTTTTGCCTAATATATACATTAATACTTCTATGTTTTCTGTTATAACTATGTATTTTTTTGGCAGTAAAACAGTTTGTAATAACTATTTTTTTTTTCTGTTCATATCGTCATAGTCGTAGAATACTGACGGATTAACTACTATATATATAATATTCGTCAGACCCGTCAGTATTCTACGACTATGACGATATGACAGGACGCAGAGTGCATTTGCCAAAAACAAAGTTTAGAAATGTGCGTTTTTGTGATGGGATTTTTGGACGACGGCATTTAGGATAAAAATTCAGTTGGAATGGCGAAATCTATGTTATAGAAGGAAGAAATATAAATTTTACTCTCGCAATACACATTTCTCCCGAAATTAGAACATTTCGCAATTAGTCTGTGAATAATGGATTTTATAAAATAGATATAATAGATTATTTTTCATTCTTAAAATTCAAGTACATTTCAACAACATATTTTGTAGGGTATCTTTGTAGACTCAAATAGTAAATGTTGTGATAGCAAAAGTTAGGTTTACTATTTTAAAAAATAATATATGAAAGTTGTCATTATTTAATTTGTATTGCATAATTATAATAATTAGGACAACAGAAGCGGCAAGACGATCGAGATCGATAAAAAAAGTCCGTTCTCAATTACGTCAAACCCGATTTGACAACTTGATGAACACGTTCTTTGCCTTTGCTTCGACATTCGAATTTGACGGATCAATGTGGGTGGTCCGTCAGTCGTGCGTGTAATTTTTTCTTTTGTTTTTGTTGTTTTTTTTTTTTGTATGCTGTAGGGCGATGACTAACAGGTTTTCAATAACTAGCCACCAGTGTAGCGTGTTAATATTTTTTGACTATTTTTTGACAGATATAAATAAAATTTTTAACTTAAAATGCTTAATTTATTCCCAAACAAATGAAAGAAAAAGCACTACAAAGTTAGACAAAGGAATTACTGTACACAGTCTTATAAATTATACATCACACGTATAATATTAATATCGTAATCTAATCTTCTTTAGATTCGATATACTAATACTGACTACTGATGTGGCTGAACTATGAATAGTAAAGAAATAAATCACAAGACACCGCCGATATACTATATGGACTCACCGTGCCGCTCAAAAATAAAACAATAGGCGTGCAAAATGACAGCTCAAAAACTGTTTCCCGCTCAAAAAACTGTCAAAGTGACATTCTGGTGTGGTGTGTGAGTGCGTTCGGAATGCAAACTGCGACATGGTAACACTGATGCCGTGTAGCTACCTCAGCGGTGGGACATCCCCGCGCTGCAGTTTGGACCACGTCGAGCCAAAGGTGACCAAATGTAGATTTTAGCTCGATCCTAATACACGAATAGATCTAGATGGAGTATCTTCATACAAACGCTTGTCAAAAACAGACCAAGTTTTTATTGGTGTGCATGAATAGGTATACCAGAATTAACAGTTAATACGCAGTAAATGGGGGGCATGTATATTGTAAGGTTAAGTTTAAAAATAAAATCGATGCAAAATACTTACGAATATTTCATAATGTTTACTTCATAATCTGAGAATAGACTTAGAATATGTATTCCTAGTCTTCCTAGTAATCTTTGTCGTGACTGTCATTACTGTTAACATTAAAAAATGACGCACTGTTTAACCGAAACTCGACCTGTTTTTGACATTCGACTCCATCTTAAAGTGTACGATCTAAGCCTCAATAACATGGTAATAACGCTGTCAAATTGTAATTTTGCACTAAATTTGAAAAGCGTTCCAATCTGTGTTATTGAGGTATTTAAAGGACACAATGTAACGCACCGAGCGCACTTGTACTATACATATAATGCACGTCTCTTTGCATTTTGCACTTACTAACTACTTACCTGCTTTTTCTTCCTCAATTGCCTTTAAAGTTTCAGATTTGACCACACATACAAAGTGATTAATTAAAGTGCCCTCGCCTTATCTCTACCAGTGTCGGAGGTGTCCATCGTAACCAACACCGAATTTTATTGTTCGTACACACAAACATAAGGATGGACAAACTGTTTATGTTTGTCCAAGTGGAACGGCATCAGATCTCATGTTTCCCATTCATACGTTAATCTTTAGTGGCTATTAAAAAGTCGTAATGCATTCACTGGTGTCGCTGGCGTACCTACGGGACAGTGCGTCGTTAGCCACCTGATACCAGGCTATCATAACCGCGATAGAGTTGCTTTTCAGACAGGAATACAGTCGATAATTTGGTATGCTCGTAATTGGTGTATTATGTATTTAATGTCTTTAATGACAAATGACTACTTAAAGAGTCAATTTCAACGCTGTATGAGTGTTGTTAAAATTTTAATACTTTTTATTCATAGCTAGTTAAACTAATAGACGTCGTTCTTCCAAAAGCTATGGAAATATTTTAATTGGCAGCTAAGAAAAGTGTGTATGAAGAAAATTAATATGATATTTTTACAGTTTTACGGGTATTTTTTTTCAATTTTTCTCTTCATAAAAATTTTCATTGAATTTTAAAATGTTTGAAAAAAATCTATCGCTCCAGCCGTACTCGAGTTCAATTACCTTATAACTGACCCTAATTATTTTTTTTGGATCGGGATACCCTAATCGCCTAGCAGTATAAAATATACTTTACAACCTATTCTCATACTTACCAAATATGCATAAAATTTTTCTTAAAAATCGGTTCCGTAGAAGCTCAACTACAAACATTATGACATTATATTTTTATATGTAAGGTGTAGATTTAGAGAAGGTATTTTTTCTAATTTTATTTCACAAAGAATAGGTAGATTCGAAGTGTTACAATGATCGATCCAATTCCGACCCTAAATCGTAGTATTTACATGAACTAATATGCTGCTGATAACGTGCTGCAAATCTATTACTAAATAAAATGGTTACTAAATAAAAAAAAAAAACATTCATATAACGCCTTGTCTGCAGTCGCAGCATTTGGCATTGTAGCAAAACCAAGCTTGTCTGTAGCTTGGTTATAGAATATAGACTTGGCTGATATAGAGTACCTATACACCAGAGCAACGATTCCTAAAGTTCTGCGGAACCTAAGGGTTCTGTAAAAAAGTAACCAGGATTCCGCAAATATATATATACAGTGAAATAATTTTAATTTTCACATAAAAAATTAAAGGAACATACAAAGTGCTATAGTTTTAAAATATTTCAAATAAAAGCTTTTGTTTTTAATTAAATTACAGTGTTTTTGATTTGTAATCAAGCGTAGCAGCTACTTGCAAAAACCCCCAAGGGGAAGGCCTATGATCAGCAGGGGACGATTGACAGCTGATAAGGTGATGATGATCGATGTTGCCATGATGCTGCAGTAGTTCCACTAATTTTATAATGCGATAACATAACAAAACAAAACGTACACAACAGTAACAGCAGAGACAGATCAAAAGAATTGATAAAAAAAACCACCCAGAGATAACACCAATAAAACAAATTTGTTCAACTCGATAGCTAACGAGATGCGATTTATCGAGCAAGATGTCTCTCTCGATACTCCTCACCTTAAATTGTACGGTCGACATTACGTTTTGGAATCAAATAGTCTCATCTCGAAACCACCGTGCAATCAAAATTAAACTTAAACTCTATAATTATATAAGTCGACATTAGATTTTTGCATGTAAAATAAATACACCTACATTTCACTTATTATATTTCCTATCTATATTATATATAATTTGTAACGTTATGTTAAAATTATACAACATTTGACAGGAGAGAACGTAAATAAATAATATCGAGAGAATCAAAAGAGTTTTGTGTGGGTTACTCTATGTGGTAGATGTCGCTGATATTGACATGTGATATATAATAAAATTTTGAGAAGTGTCGAAATCAGCCATTCTTACCTTATAATGTTCACATATATTTAGGTCAAAGGTTCTCAACGTGGGTGAGAACGCCCAATTGTGGACGTTTTAGACTTTCAGGGAAGCAATAGAAGATCCAGAGAAAATTAGGGAAGTGAGAGATGACGACACTTTTAAATATAATTGTGGCAATAGTTGTTTTCAAATTCCGTGACAAATAAATAAGTAAAATTTAGATATTGAATTCTATAAAAAAGCATATTGACAAAGTAGTTGTTGGGCAAGATAAAGTTTTTTTTTATACAACTTAGAATGGCAAACAAACTGACGGCCCACCTGATGGAAAGTGATAACCGTCGCCTATAGACATGAGCAGTACCATGGACTTAACAGAGTATACTGTTTCGTTCATGATAGTCTCTATACGTTGCACTTCCTGAGGACTCAGGTGTTATTCCTCTGTGCCTTGTAAATTCACTGTGATACTTTTATTCTTAGATCAGTAATAGAGTCATCAGATAGTGTCTCTCTTGAAATGCTCTATCAAAAGTGTTCTAATTTTGTTTAAAAAATACCGTCATTTCCTAAAAGTATAAACTTGTTTTGATCTCGTAATTGGTGGTTTTCATTACACCGTCATTTAATATATTTATTTGTATTTAGTGTATTGTACTCTCTGACCGCGTATTTTTTTCACAACAATAAAACCATAATATTAACCTATTATGGTTAATTCCTGATGAATTCATTATGACGGGCTGACTGGCCTATTTTCATTCTCATCGATCACCCTTCACTGGTATCCCGTTGGAGTAGGCGGGGGGTTATCATACCATTTTCATCCATCAAAAAAAAAAAACCAAACCTATATACCTAGCAGAAAATAATTTTAAACAACAAATAATGAAGGTACGACAAAAAATTATAAACTACCGATATCACGAGAACATATATCGTTATCACTGGTTAAACAAAAATAAAACCAACGAACGAAACCATTCCTAACAAATTACGGGCGCCTAAAACAATAAAAAAAAGTGTCATTAAAATAAATCACTAATAAAATTGACATTTCACGCGATGAGTCCAAAATGTGAGCATGGAATTAATATCACCAATAGGTATCTCGGGAATAATCAACGATAACTGAACATAAATATGGCGGTCGATAAATTTGAAAATTTATTTTGGTGGAAGGCGTAGTAGGAGCGAGACGGGACGAGCCAGGAGTCCCCGCTCGTAAATATAAAGTGAGATAAAACAATAAACGGATTACGTAAAAATAAAGAAGCGTTTTGTCCCGATGCTTGTTTAGAATACAGGCTGTTGTTATTTGTCACTGATAAAACTGTGTAACAAAGTTTTAATATTTATTTATTGCACCAAAAACATAAAAATATGTAATGACAATTAAACAATTCAAATGAATACGGTAGCATAAAGTGCAGATTAAATATATACATAAAGGTACAAAAAACAGTCTTATCGCTAAGGTAATTTCTTACAGACAATCTTTGATTGAAAGAGAATAGATATATATATATATATATAATAAATGCGAAAGCTTATAGCGATTGGTGGATATTTCTCTCTTATACACATTTTAATGGATGATTGATGATTTGATGATTGAAACCACCTATGTACCAAATTTCATTCAAATCCATTGAATGAAATTTGGTACATAGGTGGGTTATATCCTAACTTAGCATATAGGATACTTTATATCGATTACTGATTGACACAGGCGGAGCCGCGGGATACAACTATTCTATTAATATCAATAACAAATAAACGTTGTTAATAAAATAACTGGTCTTGTCACGATTAAAGTAGGTATATTTTTGTGGGAAAAACTATTTTTTACTTCTAATTTAATTTAAAATGTTAATAAACATTTTTACGTACTCTACGGTTTTTGAGTCTCCGGTTAGAAAACTCAATTCCAATTTTAAATTTAATTTCAGAATGACATAACATTAAATGTAACAAAACGGACAACTCCCATTACCCATTGAATGTGTGCAATAAATGTAAATTTAACGCAACAACCTGTATAACAAACGATACCAAAGCGCGCGGGCGCGTTGTCGCCGCATAAAACGAATAAATTAGCCCGCGCTATCGCAAGATCGGCCGGCCTCACACCTCGAGTGGAATGCGACCCGTGATTTACGCCCTTTCTCACACGCGATATCTCTTAGTGACGTCTGCTATCCTGGGAGGTGGAGGTCTATAGTTGCTAGGGGAGGTAACCTAGTACTTAATAAGACAAAATACTTAAAAAGAAATTCTTAATTTAAATCTTTGCTGTTAATCAATTTTGTTGGGATATGGGGGAATGGAGCGTGGAGGCGGCCTCATTGTCAGATCGAACCACACGTGAAACCTCCTGGAAACCGTCCTGATTAATTCGTGTTAAATTCATCACGATGAGTTAAATGATTTGCTATCATGCTCTCTTATCAAACCT